TGGCCCATATAAATTCTTAAAACCAAAAACAACACTAAAGAGAGTCTCAGAGACTGAATTTTCTAGAAAGAAACCCAGGAGTCAGTTCTACACTTAAGTGGCATTCGTGGTCTCACATAAAACACTGGTTTATTTCCTACTAAGATACTCATTTGCTCTCCTGTCGCTGCCATCAAAACACTTCATCACAGTCAACTACGAAAAGTGCTTGAGATATTGTGATTCGCGCTGCTGCATAGTGAACAAATAATAATTCCTAAGAATGCCTACTGCTAATTTGAATCATGTCAGAAGAAGGAAAGTTTGAAAAGCATTGCCCAGGGCGGTTGCTTCCTCGTCTTTGATCTGCCTCTCTGAAAGCAGACATAATCCTGACTGGCGTAAGGCCACGTTAATGAGGCTTCAGCTTTGCCGGTTCATTTTTTGACATTTGCTCTTGGAGTAGAATACATTAAAGGACTATTAGTAATCTTTAGCTTTCCACGGGGCCATCGTTAGGCACTGCATCAAGGAACACACCTGGAAAGCGGCAGAGTCCCTCTCCAGTCTGAATGGAGCCTGACCCGGTCAGCAGCTTTAGATAGGAAACCGCTGTCAGCAGAGGGAACCTTTGTTTTCTCCTTGCTAGGGGCTTTAGGTTCGGCTTTGCTGGACACAGCCCTTCCCAAGCTTGTAATGCAGAGCCAGTTCAGGTGAACAGTGATCAGTATTAAAAGTCATTGGGGGAAGTGACATAATATCAACAAACAATACTATAACACCCCTGTTCTGACTAAATGTGTACAATGCTTGTTTTAATCAACTTTTTCTCTCTTAATTATAACTTTATTTAGTCATACACTCATTAATTTAATTAGTTTATTTATTTACTTTTTGGTGCCAGGCTTGAACTCAGATTTTGCACACGCAAAGCACATTCCTGACCCCTGAACTACATCTTAGGAATTATAATGTTATTGGCTAGAATTCGTGTATTTCCAACAGAGGAATCACTAGTTTTTGAGGGGAGGGTATAAAAATCTTCACTATAAATATGTAATTCCCAACTATAAATTCTCCTAGTAAAAACTAAACACCAAAAACTTTTCAAAGATACATTTCATAGATACTTTAAAAAGAACATAAGAGTGAAATTTACCTTTGAAAACTGAAGTCAGTTTTTGAAAACAGAAGTTAGTCTTTCCATACGTGATCAAATAATTTTCAACAAGAATACTAGGTACATTCAGCGGGAAAAGACTGTCTTTTGGACAAATGGTTTGGAAAAACTGCATACGCTAGATACAAAAATTCACTCAAAAATCTAAAGATAAAAGCTAAAGAAGAAAAAGAAGAAGAAGAAGAAGAAGAAGAAGAAGAAGAAGAAGAAGAAGAAGAAGAAGAAGAAGAAAAACACCATGAAACAAAATACCTCCAAAATAAAATAAAAACCTCTTAAAAACTTTCTGATATTGGATTTGGCAGTGATTTCTTGGTTACAACACCAAACCAAATCACAGACAAGCCAAGAAAAAACAGAGACACCGGACCACATGAAAATTAAAATCTGTATCAAAGGACAAAAATCACAACATGGAAAAGCAATTCATGAAAAGGCAGAAAACATTTGTAAATTATATATCTTATAAATTGTTAAGATCCTGAACATTTAAAAACCCGATAATTCAGCAACAGACAACTCAGTTAAAATATGAGCAAGAGCCCCAAGTCACAGATCTTCAAAGAAGAGATACAGATGCTTAGCAAGCCTACGGGAAGATGCCAAGGTCACTGTACACCAGTGAAATGCAAGTCAAAACCACTGAGAGCTAGCACGTCACACCCTTTTAGCATGGTCACTATTAAAGAACAGTGTTGTTGAGGCTGTAGGGAAGTAGAGTGTTGCAGAGTGTTTGTGGAAATGTAAAAATGGTGTGGCCCCTATAGAAAACAGTCTGATGATTCCTCAGAATTAAAAATAGAATGACCATATGCTCTAACAACTTCACTTTTGAGTACAGACCCATGAGAATTGAAAACAGCATTTCAAAGAGGTATCTGTCCATGTATGCTCATAACACAAATATTATCAATAGTCAAAACACTACTAATAATTGTAGGGTCCAAAGAAAGATGAGCAAAGAAACAAAATACGTGTACCATAGATTGTTTGGCTTTAAAAAGCAAAGATTAAACACACACTACAAAATGCTTAGAGGTGTATGCTAAGTTAAGTAAGCCTGTCACTGAGAGATTCATGGATGATTCTGCTTATGTGGACCTAGAAAATTTCAAATTCATAGAGGATGAAGGCAGAGTGGTGGTTGCCAGGGGCGGGAGGAGTGGGGAATGGGGCGCTATCTTTTAAAGGTCATATACTTTCGCTTTTGTGCAATAAAGGATTCTGGAGATGGTGGTGATGGTTGTACAATAAATAATGTGAGTGTACTGAATGCCACTGAACTTATGCCCTTAAACATGGTTTAGACTATAAAATTTCCATTAGGTGTGTTTAATCACATTTTTTAAAAATGGTACTAGAGATTCAATCCAGGTCTTCACACATGCTTGACAAACGCTCGACCACTGAGCCATACTCCTAACCCCACAATTAAAAAAAAAACTCTTTATAATCTTATATAAAGATCAGTTTATTCCTTACTAAATATTTTATCAATATAGTAACTATATTCATAATGTTTCACCAGAGCATATAAAGCACAAATATTGCCACACTATATAATCAGGCATACAATATATCTAAAGTATTAAAATTCTGTGACGAGGAAAAGCAATTAAGGGAAAAATAAAAATGCTGATGAGTAGGGGAAATGATAGAAAATGGAGAAATACTTTTGTTGATGGTCTGTGCTCTGTATTCCAACTGAGCAGAAAAATATCTAAAGGAGAGACTGACAAAATCAAATGCAGGATAATCTCTAGCAGGGTTTGTGGACAGTTTTGGCATTTGGGGCTGAATAACCCTTTTTGTGCAAGGGGGTTGTTCTACACAGAATAGAATGTTTAGTAGCCTCCATCCCTTCAATTCTGTAGAACCTTCCACTCAATGGTGACATCAGAAATTGTCTTCAGTCGTGTCAAAATGTCTTCTTAGGGGCAAAATCTCAGCCAGTTGAGAATTATTGCAAAACAATTAGTTAAAGTGAGGAATAACTTGGACAATGTTTAGGTTTTGAACAGAGCCTTGTATAGCCTGGCTAAGATGTATATGAAGCCAGCTGAGGTGCTGCAGCCCTGGCAGGTACTGGCACGTGTGGCATGGGTTGGGATACACGTATGGTTGCCTTATGCTGACCACTGTGACAAAGCAGGTCTGTGCCATCTGACTTTGCATCAGAAGCTCTGGGAAAGAATTATGATGCAGTGGGGTTTAGCCCCTCTGGGAGAGGTGGAGGTGGGAACTGCTGCCAATTTGGAAGAAAAGTGAATCCAAAGCTCAGGCTCTGAGTCCTTGCTTAGCTGTGGCTAATGTGTCTCTATTTCTGAGGTCATCTCTAAAAAGAGTGCAAGAGTCTTTATTAATCACCAGAATAGACTGAGGGAACACTTGTGCCTAGTGGTGATTAGGTAATGGAGATGTTAGACAGTTGCCTTCACACCCATGGGGCTTAGAATATATTTGGGACTTAAGACAGATCCATTCAGGAGTTAGGCTGCAGTGGGACAGAGCATATGCATAATCGATAATCGCCGATAGGGGTCTGCTGGGACTCATAAAGAGTGGAAATGATGAACATCACCTCTTCTACACATGTGGCCCCTCCAAATGCATGTCTGCCAGAACTTCAGAAGGCACCTTATTTGGAAATAGTGTCTTTGTAGATATAATTAGTTAAGTTTAAGTCAGGCTGGTTTAGGGTGGGCCTTAAATATGATGACTGGTATTCCTATAAGGTCACACGAAGATAGAAGCAGCAGAAGTGAATGCTCTGTAAGCTAGGGAAGGCCAAGGCCAACACTAGAATCTGGGAGAGAAGCAAGGACTAGATTCCCCGTCTCCAGAAGGAGCCTGCTGTGCCAACACCTGTAGAACCACGAGAGAATACATTTCTGCTGTGTAAAGCCACTGCATTTGTGATTCTGTAAGTTGCTATGGCAGCCATGAGGAAGTAATAGAACAAAGGAAGACTGCATGCAAAAACTGGCTTCAGAGGAGCCAGGGGATGGTGGCGCACGCCTGTAATCTCAGCCCTTGGGAGGCTGAGGCAAGGGAATTGTTGCAAGTTCAAGACCAGCTTAGGCTACAAAGTGAGCTCAAGATCAGCCTGAACTGCAGATCGAGACCCTGTGTCAAAAAGACACACAGACAGACAGACAGACACACACACACACACACACACACACACACACACACAAGAGGGAAATCTGGATGCAAACAGAAGGATGATAAAATGAATCCTAGCCACAAAGAATGGTGCAGAAAAGCAGCCCAGCATTTCCAGAACATGGCGTCTGACAACTGTCTTTGCAGAAGCGGTGGCCCTGGGTAACAGATGACTTACATCCAGGAGGAATGAGAGGGTAGGGAAGATGGGCCATCCCGTCTGCAGTCACCCCTCTAAAGTGACATGCCACAGCATCTGATCTGAGGAGGCTCGCAAGCTTCCAAGTGTCACCACCCCTCAGCCTGCATGCTTCTCTACCTGATTTATCTTCTATTCCTGCTCACGCTGCTGCCACTTCCTGCTGAAAAATACTTTCACTCAGTGTCTTTGTCACCAATCTGTATGTTTTATTCATGCTCTCACGGTGGTGTATTAGTGAATTAATTTTGCCTTCAAGGAAGATGGAGACAGAAACTTCCCTTTGTACTCTTGGGCACACCCTATATCAGCTTTTAAATTTGTCACCCCAGAGTTTCTGGGGGGAATGCTGCTATCCACACGCATCTGTATGGGAAAGTCTGAAGCTATTATTTGATTGATTAAAATGTTTTGTTCTAAAAAGATAAAGTGACATAAGAAGTCCAACGGAAAAATCTAGGATCAATGTTCTAGATTTTTATATAGGATGAAATTATCTTTGGCACCATAAATATACAGAGAAGATTAGCGTGGCCACCGCACAAGGATGGCACACAAATTCCTGAAGCGAATTGGTTAGATAGTTTAGCATCCTGGGGTTGATCTTCTTTTCTTTGTTTTTGAGATGGGGGGGTCTTACTGCATTATCCAGGCTAGCCTTGGGCTCTTGGGCACTAGCGATCTTCCTGCCACAGCCTTCGAGCAGCTGAGTCTGAACATAAATGTACCGAGGTATCTGGCTTCTTTCTTTTCTTCTTAAAAGTGCTACTGAAAAAAAGTGTGAGGAGCCAGCCCTCGCAGAGCATGTCGGGAGCGTGAGGCTGCAGTTCCTGCCTCACCGTGCTTCCTCTAAGCTGCTTGTGCAAATCCAGGCTCCTCCACTGAATGCTGCATTCTCAGCGGGCAGGTGATATCTCTGTCCCCAGTGCACACTGGCATCTCCACAGGTAGAAGCTTCGTGAACATTAGACACATTGTGCAGACTCTGACACCAGACGAGTCCTTGCATCTGTCTCTGGCTGCCACCAGCTGTGTCTCTTAACACTGCTCAATCTCAGCTTCAGCTTCTTCAGCAGTAAACAGGAGCTACTGATGCCATTGTGAGAACTGTAGGAGGACATAAGACCAAGTCCAGACTGGGTGCCCTGTCCAGGTGACCCCTTCTCCTTCTTATTAAATTCATCACCGTTGAGGGTGTCCAGACTTTTTGAGGATGCAGAGGTGTTCTCATGAAACTGTGCAGCCCCGAAGTGCCTGTTACACAATCAGAATGTCTACCTTGGAACTTTTATCCCTCTCTAACAGAACCCAGAGTACAAGCAGCTGCTGGCATGGCTGCTCATATGACATCCTTTGTTTATGTGGCTCAGTGATGTGGTGGAGGGACTGCAGATGGGAAGGGTGAGGAGAAGAATCCTATATAAGGGACACTGGATCCTGTGGAAACCAGCTTGTAGCTGTGAGGAAAGGGACCCTTTTTATTTAAAGGTCAGTGTGTGTCATCTTAACAAAAGGTGAATTTATTTTGATGCAGTTGCCCTTGGATACTGAATCTTCTTCCTCCGATCATGGCTGGGTGTTTTTTCCTTTTCTCTTTTTGAGGCAGAGTCTCACAATGTAGTTTAGGATGAATTTGAACTCACAGTGTATCCCACGCTGGCCTCAAAATTCTGGCAAGCCTCATGCCTCAGTCTCTCAAATGCTGGATTACAGGTGTGCAACACCACACCTAACCAGCTCTCAGTTTTTATTTTTATTTATTTATTTTTGAGACAGGGTCTCACTATGCAGTTCAAGCTGGACTTGGACTCACTTTGTCGCCTGGGACGGTTTCGAATTTGCAACGATCCTCCTGCCTCAGCCTCCCAAATTCTGGAATTACAGGCGTGCACTACTACGCCTTGCTAAACTCTTGAGTTTTTAACAGATGCTCTTGGCTGACAGTCCAGGGAGAGTATTTCGAATGGCCTCCTTAGACAGTTATTAAAAATAAAAAACTGGGGCTGGGGAATTTAGCTCAGCGATATAAGTGCCTGCCTGGCAAGCAAGAGCTCGTGATTTCCATCCCTGATACTAAAAACAAAACAAAACAAAACAAAACAACAACAACAAAAAAACCCCCCAAAACACTACCCAGTACCTACCCTGAGTATTCAGTACCATGGAGAGGACTGACTAGTTAAGAGCCCGTGTGTAGTGTGGTTGCCTGTACTGGTGCTGAGTCCAGCTCTTGGGTTTCTGTGTGTGCACATTTCAGTACCAGGGATGAGGAGGTTGCTTGCTTAGGACCTAAACTGTCTAGGTTCAAAAACTAGTTCTACAACTTAACTAGACAGAATTCTGTCACCCTTTCTGCCTCAGTTTCCTCAGACGACCATGAGGCTAATGGGTGTCTAACAAGTCTGTCAGGAGAATGAATGGAGCCCTCCATGTAAAATACCGAGAACAAAACCCAGCAGAGATTAAGCACTATTACCATGTAGGGCGTTTTAAGTCCACTTACATTCTCACTGTATTATCAATTCTTTAATCTTTGTCACAGAACCTTTAATCTCTTTAGGAGCAATGCTATAAGCGTCCAGCTGCTCTGCTGGCCAGGAGCACTGTGGCTCCAATTATAACCATATGCTATCTTTTAAATACACAGTATCTGGTCTACGGTATCATTTCTTTAACCCATCCACATCCAGAGAGCTAGGGAAAAGTTTCACTTTCTATATGGATATTTAAAAATAGATATATGTGATGCTTACTGCATACCAGAACTGTTCTCGGTCCTTGGATATTGTGGTCAGTGAAGACCATGTCATCTGTCCTCTGTTAGGCCACTGCCAGGCTAGGGAGCAGTCCCCAAACACAATCACATCTGAATCCCCTGAATTTCTAAGTTCCCTTATATGGAACAAGTTTCTGAAGATGTGCCTAAATGATGGGGAGTTTATCCTGATTAGCTGGTGGGTCCTAAATGCAATCACATGTATTTTTCTAAGAGAAGGCAAAAGGAAATTTGACAACACACAGTGTAAAGGTGATTTGAAGACAGAGCAGAAAGAGATTTAAAGATGTCAGCCTTGAAGACTAGATTGATATGGCACAAGCCAAAGCATGTGACAGCCATTAGAGGCTGGAAGAGAGAAGGAAAATCTCTCCTAAAATCTGTTGAACCTTCAGATGGAGCATGGCTTCACTGACACCTTGGGTTTAGCCCAGTAATGGCGATTCTAGATTTCTGGCTTCCAGAATTGTTAACGAATACATTTCTATTATTTATTTATTTACCTTTTTTGAGAGAGGGTTTCCTATGTAGTTCAGGCTGGCCTCGAACTCCTGCCTCAGCCTCCAGGGTGTTGGGATTACAGGAGATCACCACCATGCCTGGCCCTCTGTTATTCTGAAATTTGTAATAGCAGCTCCAGGAAGCTAATATATCCAAGTCGTTTTAGATGAATGCCAGGAAGGACAACCACTGGCTAATCTGCCAACCTTCTCTTAGCATGGCGCTATCTAGTGGATACTCTAATTCACCACATCGTTTGACGCTGTTTTCTTATGTGAGTGTTTTGATGGTGGAAGGAATGGAGGGACCTCCCTGATGTTTTCTCTGCAGATACCTTAGGAGATTTTGAGGCATATTTCAAGCTGAAAGGCATTAACCTATGTGATAGGTGTTTGATAGTTAACTGACTGTGTCAATTTGAGTAAGAAATGCCTGACCACATTGGATCAGCACAGTTCTAGGCATGGAAGAAGGAATCTACTGAAAACAGAAGACCCACCAAATGGGTGTGTCAGCAACCAATAGGCTGCAGCCCGAAGGGCATAAAAAGCAAAGGAAGAAGGAAGGTTCCATTATGTTTCTTTGGAGGATCATCAGTCCTCCCCTTCACCTTGGACGTTGTCTTTCAACTTCCAACTCAACTCATCAGCCACTGGTACAGATCCTTTGGCCTCCTGATCCACTCAGTCGGGAACTTTCTTCAGCTTGCCTCACAAGACATCACAACACAGTACTTCAGTGGCATACTCACATGTATTTTTCACATCTACAATCTCTTTTCGTTGAATAACGGGACAAACAGCAAGCCTTTGAGGTTTGACTTCTCCCCCCCTCCCTTTAGTCTCTGTGCTGACTTTGTCACTATTAAGAGCCTTGCCAATCTTTACTCTGATGAAGTCAATTTCCTTTGTTCACCAGAACTGATCATGTCATCAGCTACAACAGCATCATGCCTCTATGGTAAGATTATAACTCCATGCATGTTGATGCCACATGTTTGCTTAAAAGGAACCCCAGTTGCAGAAATGAACTCATCTGGTCTTTTGAAAGTTTCAGAGGCACACCTGTCCCTAATATATTGTCCATCCTTTAGACTGGGTCGTTCCCTCACAGGGATAAAGGCTAGACTGATTTCATTCTTGGTGGATGATTTTATGTTGAAATAATTGCTCATGGTTTTCGTTACCATCTGTTCCTAACAATTCTGGATTTTTCTCCCCCCTTTCCAGCGTGGGCCTCCTCGCAGCACGGTGCATCCTGGACCCTTGCACGTATGAGGGGTCTCCTCCAGCTTGCTCTCACTCCCTCCAGCAGGGCACACAACCTCGCTGCGCGGATGTCTGCTTGCGGTCTTGCTGGAAGGTGAGTTTCGCAGGCGCCTTTGCCGGGGACGAGCACACAGGTCGGCTGCATCTGCCTTCCCGAGGTTGCACCTTCTGCGGTGAGGCCGTGCGGAAGCGCTCTGCCCTTCTTTACCGGGCAGGTCCTTACTGCCCTCGGCGATGGGCTCGTTTTCCTCCTCTTGACCACGACACGCCCTACCTGGTGGCGAGGTCGCGCTTCCCGGGGCGGCTCTGAAGCCCCGCGGACCCGACAGCTCGGCGGGGTCCGCCTTGCCGGGGTCGCGGAGGCCGCGCGCCGCCCGACGTCACTTCCGACCGGGGCCAAGATGGCGGCGGTGCGGCGACGGCGGGCGCAGGGCCGGGCGGCGAGGCGGCGGCGGCTCTCGGCGCGCTGAGGCGTGGGCGCGGCGGGCGCGGCGGGCGCGACGGGCGCGGGTAAGAGGCGGCGGAGAGGGCGGGCTCCGGGCCGGCGGGAAGGCCGGTCGGTCCTCGGGAGCAGGGCGACGGCGACACCCCGGGGACCGGTTGCGGCGGGCACGGCGGGCGGGCGGGCGCGCCCCCTCCGGGGTCTGGGGCGCAGGGCCGGCCGGGCCCCGGGGCTGGCGCGCACTGCGGGGAGCTGGCTGGCGCCGGGGCCCTCGCCGCGAAGTTTGGGGTCCGCTCGCGGCGCTCGCGGCGGCGGGGCCACCCGGGACCCCACGTGGGCTCGGGGCCGTCGCAATTGTCAAGTCGCTGTGCTTCCCCCTTTTGTGCTCCCACCGAGTGTGTCTCGCGCACTTGTGCTCTTAATTTGTTTTGTGTCTTGGGTCTTTGTGTCCTAAATAGTTTTTGTGTGGCGGAAAACCGGAGATTGTCTCCCTCGACCCATCGGTGTGCGTGTGTGCACGCGCGCGTGTGTAAGTGTATAAAACGGACGTGCACGTCTGCCTGTAGGATCGATTGTTACTAACAACACTGTGAAC